ACAAATGAATACGATTAGTATATGCACACATGCTGAGTGCTGACAGAGTTGTGAGGGTGGTTGACACTTCCCATCACCCCACACGATGAAAGACCAAGTCTTCTTGAGGTACCTGAGAAAGAAGAGTTAGTGCGTGGTCGTAGAGCCTATGGACACCTGCTAGAGGCAAGTCAAATACGGCCTTTCTGATGTGACGAAAATTGGCCTGTATTACTGGTGTGGTCGGACATACGTCCTATGGCTTTGGACCACCACTAACAACCGATAATCCATCATTTCATTGTTAAAAAACATGTTAAGGGTAACTGGCTTTTGTCTAATCACTATCCAACAGACCTTTTCGATATGGTAGGACCTCAAGGGAACAAGCGTTCCATCAGCATAGCTGGTTGGGCTATCGTGATATACAAGCCTGACCACCACGTCAAGGTAGCAGTCTGATGTTGCTGTGGAGCAACAAAATTTGCTAACAACACTAGAAAGGAATAAAAACCGTTAACTTGACTTATACCTCCAAACTTATTCCAATAAAATCTTTCCCAAGAAATAACACAATAAACCCTCAGTGGAAGTAAAACTCCATTGGAACCTGATTCAGGTTAGTTGTTAATGGTGTTTAGCTTAGTGGAGATGTGACTCATTGGCTTAACTATTCGACTTCTCAAATAATCAGTCCTACTCTACTTACTTTGGCCTGTGCAACCACACAGTATCATAAGCTCTTACACAATTGACGTGCCTCATACCCAAATACAAAAAAGCATGTTCCGGGCTCATCTGCACTACAAACAGTTCAAGTTGCCACAGTTGGCAGGAGTAGAAAAAAGGTGATGTCGAAATCATGAAATTGTGAGAGAATAAATAATCTGAAGAGGACCGTAAGCGAAAATGTTCAGGGTTTAGAAGACGCCAGGGAGGGAATACATTTGCGCAACTGTGACCGATTTTTTGGGCATACCACCAAGAGTCCTCAACCGCTGATTCCCACCATTCCAGGAGTCCAACCAGATAGTCTACATCTCCCTACATGGCTCAGGTCAACAGCCAAAAACTTCATGCGCTGATACCGTACCTTGATGTGTTCACCCTATTCCAAATTCCTCTAGCATGGTATGTCGAGGTAGGTGGTAATTCAGCATGCGCAATACACGGCCAACACCAATAAACTAACTTGCCTAGTACATTTCGCGTGACCTCAAAAATGGCTCCACGGTGATTCCAAAAAACGTAAACAATCCTACGAAGACATTTCTGACTACCACTTTCAACGGATAGGTCATATAAGTGAATGACAAAACAGAATGGACAGAAGAGCAGTATACTCGTCCCTTTATAATCAGATTGATATCCCAGAGGAGAAACAGACTAAAAAATTTACAAAACCTCTAAAATGCCTGCTAAATCTCGGCAAAGATTCGGTCGACAACCAGCTGCTGCGACTCCGAGTAAGTAAAGCGATCGATACATTCCACTGCTTCACTCCCTATCATCAAACTAGGAGTAGTGGCAGCCCACTCCTGAAGCACCATCTTACATTACACAAATGCAAAACGCATACTAAACATGCTTACATTTCTGCTCAACGCCTGCAGAAAACTTTACATTTTGTCACTGTCTTCACCTAGTAGAAAAATGTCGTCTGCATACCTCTAGTGATAGAACAATCTCTGCGAAGTCAAAAGTGCCTAACCTTATATCTACTAGTGCATCTGCAGCCAAATAAAGTAGGAACAGTGACAGTGGGCGTCCTCGTAGACACCACCAGTTGTTCTCAATTGTGTTGACAACCCTCCATCAACCCTCTATCAACATGGGTTCGAGTAGAAAGCCTTAATAAGTGCTACGTACTTCCTGGCTTTCGCGTTCACAGTCAGACACCACCACATCAACTCATGGTCGACAGAGTAGAATGACACCTTCAAGTCGAGTGTCGGCAACCCGTAGGCATGCCTGTGTTCCACGACCTGTCGAAGGGTGAAAATATTATTGACCCACCATTGTCTAGGTCTCAATTCCGCCTCATTTGTTGTTGTTGTTGTTGTTGCTGCTGCTGCTGTTCTCCAGTTGCAGTCAGACATCGGATAACTATGAACCCCTGCATCAAACAACACATAGACGGTTGCTGCATAACACCCAGTCGAAAAGCGAACTTTATACTCTACAACTCAAAGCTATACCTACACCAGGGAGTACACAACAGCTAGTCACTGGGTCTCCAAATACTCGTAAGGTGGGTGGATTTTGAAGATTCATCATTATCGTCAAATGAGGTGAATCAAATAATCACACTCGAGTCGTGTATATCTTTCCTAGACACATAGCATACATATATCCTCAACTAGAGATTACACAGTTATGGTGAGTTACACTTGCTCTCCGATTTGGCATTCAGTTCGAACGTTCAACACTCCAGTGTGAAATCAATAGTGTAGTGTCTGGAGACTAACAACGAGGTTTCGATTGTTGGCAATGTTCTCAAAATGAGAGGTTGGGGAAGGTGTAAGAGGCTTAATATTAGTATCAGAAAGTGAAGGCAAAGGAGGAGACAGAGGTGAGTAGGAAAGCTTATGTTTGATTGAGTCTTGTGTACCACTACTGGAAGCATTCGAGTGGTTGATACTTTTCATCTACCCACACTGTGGAATGTCATTTCTTCCTAAGGTACCTGAAAGTAAACAAGATTTGTGTAACCACAGACCCCACTGTACATCTACTTGAAGTCTATCACAGCCGTTTATGGGTAGCTTTCAGAATCGGTTGTTGTAATACTGGAGTGAAAGAGCCATACTGGAGACACTGGATGGCTGTGATGCAGAGAGGTGTGTTAATTTTTGGGGTAACCTTTCCTGAAGACCCGTTTGCATAGAGAAAGTAGCATCAGTGTGGCTCTACTTATCGTCCAAGGGAAGTACCTTACTGATGTCAAGCCCTGGACAGCCAGCGGTATTGTATCAGCTTTACTTCAACGGTGACTGCTTTTCGTCTTACCATTACTCGACAGATACTACTGGTATGGTATGTCCTCGAGGGGACAAGGCTTCCAGACAGTGTAAGTCGTTGGGCCATTATGATATACAAAGCCGGCCATTAAGTCAAGGTACCAACTATCGGCTAGGCCTTTCAGTGCAACGGACGATTGTAATGTACTCAACAACCACGTGCACGTTCATACAGCAGGCAATCAGCCACACCTATTGTGAAGACTACTTATACCATGTGGTCTCGTCAACCTCGTTATATATGACGAAATTTGAACTTGTGTCCCAAAAGGACCTCAAGAAATGAGCTGTAGCTTCACGATGCAACTCATGATATTAAATGAAAGGAATATGACATAACAAGTAATTCTGAGTAACTCAAACTTATCTCAAGAAAACCTAGTTTGGTTTTGATATGCTGTAAGAAAGAGACTTCATGTAGCGTAGTGATTAGTCTATGAGTAAATACTTTAACATATTTATTTTCCCAAAGGCTCCTACAAGATATTAATTCATTTTGAGGAAGAACGAATTGATGAATATTGGTACATTTCATAGACGCTGAACACCAAAAAATAACGCAGTAACATTAAACTAAGAATCGATTCACAATAAATTAGTTTTAAAACAATTACCTGGACGTTTATCAAGCATAAGCCATATGTCATGGTTTCAACACGTCAGAAACACAAAAGTTAGGTGCACAGTTTTAGGAAGGAGAGGGAAGTCAGATGGCAGAGACGTGTTACGCATGTCTGGTCATTGTCTGTCGCGTCACGCTAAAATAGGTTAAGGCTGGGAAAAGGCTGGTGGTGGTCAGACTAAAACATGGCATCACTACATGAAGTCTTGTACTGTTTGTCTTAACCTTGTAAGGAAATGTAGACCTCCCTGGTTGAGATTCACGTGACAACAGAAATTGAGGTTGCAGATTCAAAGCAACATGACTCAGAATCGATGTCAATGGCGTATAAACATTATCTTCAACTCAATCGTGTGTTTTATTACTTCTCCTTGCACTAATCTACTGTTTTTGACTGATCCTTCTCTATTTCTATATCTTTCCTTTTACTGCTTTGTTGCTTGATGTGGTGATCTGAGGTGCAGTAACATGGACCTGGTCATATGTTGACATTGATGATGATACCTAGCGATCAAGTGAACTGTACAGTGAAAATGATCATTAAAATAGCTAGTAAAAAGGTTCATTGATGAATCTTCAGAAAATCTAATCGATTAAGTCTTTCATTAGTTTACAAAAACTAATTATTCAATGCTTAGAATAGGTAAAGCATTAAAATTAGAACATGTCGATGCAAGGTGTACAGTAATGCTTTGATAGACAGATAACACATACGCTATACAGAAATAGGATGCTTTATGAAAAGGTGACATAATAACAAAATTCTTCGCATAAAACGTTTGATAACATAAAGTGATTATTCACTGTTTTAGATGATTATGAACCCATGGCAGCATTCAAATTCACATAATCATTTCAGTAAGTGAACATCATACTGAAACTTACAAGAAATGAGTTTTAAAAAGAAAAAAAAAGAAGTTTGCTCACCTTATATGTTAAACAGATAAACTAAGAAGCATTTAAAGCTAAACATATTTTTGCGGTATAGAAGAAAACTGTTTTAAAATTTGATTATGAAATGATTTGAATTTCATCATATAATATAGACATAAATATTTTACATGATTTGACATCGGGATAAAGGAATAACCTTGAGAATTAACCAATACTTTAAAAAGTTGAATCAACACTTAATATACGGGATAAAAAGCTTTTATAAAAAGAAGAAGAGGAAGAACAAGTTTCAAATTAAAAAGGTATACATAATAATTTCTAGAGAAAAAGAGGACAATAAACAAACAAACAAGTCCAGAGGTAGATAGAATGATGATTACGTAAACAGACAAGATATTTAACAAACAATAAGATGGTAATCAAAACAAATATGATATTCTTCATGTTCATTACATAAAGAAACTAGTCACATATGAACAAGGTAGTTATTCATGTAATGAATGGGAAGTAGGACAACATTTCTTGACATTTAGATCCATCATACAGTCTGTAATCTCATTTGTACTTAATGCATCCGATGCTATATGATCACCTGAAGAGCTTGTACATTCACCACCACCGGAGGGAATTGAGGAGTGAGATACAGAGGACACAGGAGACGACCGAAGGATGTGAGGTGAAGGTGGAATTGAGGAGGGGCTACTGGGATTATTTGAATTTGTGGTTATGGAGAAAAGTTGACATGATGGACTAGAAGGACTAGACACCGGAGGTAAACTCGGCGGCCAACGGAAGTAAGGAAAGTCAGAACAAGAGTTAGTTCCATTACTGTACACTCGGACATCGTTTTGACATGAGGATTTACTACTTCTATAACCACAGAAAGATTCTGGAGATCCCTCACGACTAGCATCATCACTAGAACCACCACCACCCCCCGATACACAAGATAAGTATCCTCGTTTACGTCCAAGTGCAGCTGAAACAAGCAAAGGACTAGCACCGCCAGTGCTACTAAATCGACGGGGATTAGGAGATACGGTGGAAGTTGGTAATGAAGGTGAATAACATTGAACGCGCGATGAAACAGGTGATGCAACAGGTGATGGATAACAAGACGACGGGCGAGAAACATGAGGAGGGCTCAAGGGTATTCCCTTGTTGCTGCAGGGTGTCACAGGAAGACCACAACCGTTACTCCCAGAGCAGGCAGGGTAAGAACAAGTTACAGATATTACCAGTGGTCCACTGAAAGAACTTGGGCGGTGACTAGGGCTACTATTCACAGAATTAGAAGACGATGAGCATTCTCTATCACCAGACTCAGTGCACGAAACACTCAGACCAGCCCATGAAGAAGAAAGTCTAGACGTCTCAGTTAGAAGTTTCTCGTGCTTGACTTCATTTTCAACATGATCTTCAGCAGTCACATAATACTGTGCGGAGCAACGCCTGACTGCCTTGCGTTTCAGCATTAAAACGACAAAATATGTGCAGATATCACAGAAAATAATTAAATGTACGTTGATGTAGCTTGAATAAACAATAATCTATTGAGTATCTATTCATTTTAACTGCTAACATGTTTAGCGATGTTCATGCTGCTAAACCACCTGATAGTATATTGCACATCTCTAACCAGAGATATATAAATGAGATAGAATGGCTGGATTGTTCTTGTGAACTAGAAACACACATAACGAAATATGTGATTCTAATGAGAGGGGATTAATGGTGTAAGTTGTCGTCAAGTAGTCAATTTTGATTCATGAATGAATTACGATTTGTTAGATGAACACTGAAAGGATAAAAAGACAAGAATATGGATTAAAGTTCACCTATCATCAACAATAACAACAACTCTAAACAAGCGTTTCTCTAACAAGTATAGGGTAATAAGAACTGGTACTTACCATCGCCATTTTGGACAGTTCAAAGCACTGCTGATATCTGTTATCACTAAGTTACAATTCACTCGGCTTTCTTTGAGAAAATACTATACTATGGAACAGTGACTTACATTGAAAGGGAAAGATTTCCGAACCATACTCACTACTCATACGTCTTACACTACTCTAACCTGCTTTGTAATGCCGTACTCGGTTCTGCCCATATGAAACTATGGTGTACTCTTCCTTTTACAGTCAGACTACAGTCACCAAGGCGCCAAAGACAGTTTAGACTAAAATATATCAATCTGGCATTCAGAATACAGTTGGAAATTTATTGATCCTACTTCGACTAGGACTACAACAAATACCCAGATATTCGAACTTTCCAACTACTTCAAACATTAAACCTCTAAGGGTGAGTGAGGGCACAGGCTTCTTGTTAAGCCACCTAGAAAGGAGGAAACATGAATCCCAGATAAGTATTATTGGTCGCATTATTTTATTTTGGAAAAGTATTTCACTCAAGACTTATTTGATAGCATTATTGCATAGCTCGATCTAACAGCTTTCCGTTGACTGAAATAATTGTATGGGTGAAATCAACTATTGTGTCTACAGCCTGATTGATAGCTGTAACCTTGGCGGTTGGTCTAGTATATCACAATGAACAAGTGAGCTATGATGTAAAAACGCTTATTCCCTAGAGATCATACTATAAAAGAAAGATCCGTTGGGTAGTGGCAAGACGTAAACAAGCAGTTACCGTTGTAGTGTAAATCGCTACACTATAGTGAGGATCCAAGGGAGATGTCGTACGCCTACTCGATGGGGCTTAACATCAGTAAGGTACTTCCCTTGGACGATAAGTAGAGACACACTGATGCTACTTTCTCTATGCAAACGGGTCTTCAGGAAAGGTTACCCTAAAAATTAACACACCTCTCTGCATCACAGCCATCCAGTGTCTCCAGCATGGCTCTTTCACTCCAGTATTACAACAACCGATTCTGAAAGTTATCCATAAATGGCCGTGACAGACTTCAAGTAGATGTACAGTGGGGTCTGTGGTTACACAAATCTTGTTTACTTTCAGGTACCTTAGGAAGAAATGACATTCCACAGTGTGGGTAGATGAAAAGTATCAACCACTCGAACGCTTCCAGTAGTGGTACACAAGACTCAATCAAACATAAGCTTTCCTCCTCACCTCTGTCTCCTCCTTTGCCTTCACTTTCTGATACTAATATTAAGCCTCTTACACCTTCCCCAACCTCTCATTTTGAGAACACTGCCAACAATCGAAACCTCGTTGTTAGTCTCCAGACACTACACCACTGATTTCACACTGGAGTGTTGAACGTTCGAACTGAATGCCAAATCGGAGAGCAAGTGTAACTCACCATAACTGTGTAATCTCTAGTTGAGGATGTATGTATGCTATGTGTCTGAGAAAGATATACACTACCCGAGTGTGATTATTTGATTCACCTCATTTGACGATCATGATGAATCTTCAAAATCCATCCACCTTACGAGTATTTGGAGACCCAGTGACTAGCTGTTGTGGACTCGCTGGTGTAGGTATAGTTTTGAGTTGTAGAGTATAAAGTTCGCTTTTCGACTGGGTATTATGCAACAACCGTCTATGTGTTGTTTGATGCAGGGGTTCATAGTTATCCGATGTCTGACTGCAACTGGAGAACAGCAGCAGCAGCAACAACAACAACAACAACAAATGAGGCGGAATTGAGACCTAGACAATGGTGGGTCAATAATATTTTCACCCTTCGACAGGTCGTGGAACACAGGCATGCCTACGGGTTGCCGACACTCAACTTGAAGGTGTCATTCTACTCTGTCGACCATGAGTTGATGTGGTGGTGTCTGACTGTGAACGCGAAAGCCAGGAAGTACGTAGCACTTATTAAGGCTTTCTACTCGAACCCATGTTGATAGAGGGTTGATGGAGGGTTGTCAACACAATTGAGAACAACTGGTGGTGTCTACGAGGACGCCCACTGTCACTGTTCCTACTTTATTTGGCTGCAGATGCACTAGTAGATATAAGGTTAGGCACTTCTGACTTCGCAGAGATTGTTCTATCACTAGAAGTATGCAGACGACATTTTTCTACTAGGTGAAGACAGTGATAAAATGCAAGGTTTTCTGCAGGCGTTGAGCAGAAATGTAAGCATGTTTGGCACGCGTTTTGCATCTGTGTAATGTAAGATGGTGCTTCAGGAGTGGGCTGCCACTACTCCTAGTTTGATGATAGGGAGTGAAGCAGTGGAATGTATCGATGGCTTCACTTACTTGGAGGAGTTGCATTAGCCTGAACGGGCTAGTCACTAGTGGTCTCATCTCGGATACAGACAGCCCATTGGGCACTTGCCAGCTTGTATCATCTGTAGCGCCGCTTAGCAAAAATTCTGAATACTTATTAGAGGACGGGTATACTCTACCAGAGCCCGTTGTCACGAAGATGAAAGGAATCAGTGGTTGATAACTGTTGGGAATATGGCTGAAAATCGGTCACAGTGGAGCAAATGTGCTCACTTTGGTGTTTTCTAAAGCTTGAATATTCACATTAAGATTTATCTTCAAATGTTTATTCTCTTACAATACTTTGTGTAGTTTGAAATCAGTCTTTTTAATCCACCTGTTCTCTATGTACTAATGTGAAATGTAGCAACTTGAACTGATGCACCTTTGTGCAAGATTCTGCGATGATTTTGTCTGCCATTCATTCAGGTCGCAACCACTCAATTAGCCATGCTGGTGAGAACATTTCTTCTTTGAGATCCTGCCATATCGGAATGGTTTGCTGATTACTGATTAGACAAGAAAAAAGCAGTTAGTGTTACAGTGTTTATAACTACTCAATGATAGTGGCACGGGGATGAAGTCGAACATCCGGCTAGAAGGGATATGACAGCAGTAAAGGCGTTCCCACGGATGATTAGTAGTGTCGTGTTAGTGCTGCCTTCTTTATAGGAAGAGACATAAAAATTGAAAACTTTTTGCGCTGCGGTATTTAAGCACTAACAGTAGAGGTTTCTTAACTCAATTAAAGACCATCAAAAATTAAATTTTAAACTTCCAGGAAGAGTCTATGCGACCGACCTCAAGCAGATATCCTGCGATCTCTGAGGTCAGAAAATATTACTTATGCAATTCCTTTATCAAGCACTTCAGGAAGAAGTGGTCTCCCTCAGTGTTGGCAGTAGGGAAGTGTTTATTGTTCTCACAACTCTGTCAGCACTCAAATTTACCTAAAATCATAATCAACCTTCTACTTATTTGCATTCTAATTTTCCTACACATCTCTCAGTCAATAGTCATTTCATCTTTAGTATCTGCCAACCCAGATTCCAGATCACAGAACAGCATCCCTCGTCTCTTGATAACCTGTTGAGAAATACACAAAGCAGCTTTCAACGTACACACTCTCCATTATGTCAGTCAAATGGCTTTTTTAGGTAAAACCGTGGCATCCTGGATCGCGCAAGTGCTGTGTTTGTGACATATGCATACATGACCCAAGTGCGGTTACCCCCTTAACCTCAACTAGCCAATATGGTGAGTCTTGGAAAATCACTCTTCGAGTTTTTGGTGATCCTTTGGTTAGTTTTCGCGGTCTTGCAGATGTGATTACAGCATTAACTCCTAATACAAAAAATGCACTGCTCAACTAGAATATAGGTAACAGCCACCTGTTCACTTTGTGAATGGACGATGCAGTGAGAACCTAAAAGAACGGTGAGACCTGCCATTATCTCTTTGTAATCTTTGCCTACGTACCCACCGACTCCAGCTCGGATGAAGTGAAGAAAGAGTTCTACCGAGAACTGTCTAGCCTCTGAATGAAAGCCAACCATTCAGATTTGATTATCGTGGTAGGTGGTTTCAATGTACAAGTGAGTAGGCTGAACTAAGTAGAGCACTTAGGTGGTACTTTTGAACCTCAGCCGAACAGATAGCGGCGATCGGCTGCCCCAACTATGCTTAGGCAACCATCTATCTCTGGTCAACACGAACTTTAGACGTAAAGAGACATTGTCTGACGTGGAGTCCACCAACCCAAGCTCTCAGGCGGGCAAAGACAGACTATGTTGCCGTCAGTTATCGTTGTAGAGGTTCGGTGGGAGATTGTCGCTGTTTCTGGAGAACGAGTTTTGAATGATCATGCAAATATCTGCATCTACATGGGCAAAGAAAAACTACAGCCGAGGCCGTTTCGAGCACACCTTTATAAAGAGAATACTAAGAATGCTTATGTGAAGAGCCAGTTAGACAGTTAATATGTATGAAACTTAGGCTCTGTGGCATAATGTAATTCCATATTGGATTTTTTTATTTGAGACAGCACTCAGTGATAGAATTTTATTTACTTGACGTTTCGAGAATAAATTGTTGCTCATAATCATACCAAGATAATCACACAACTTGTGATATCTGCTATTTATAATCCTATCACCTCATATTCTTTGTATTAAGTGTTGGGTGTTGATTTGAGGAACAAAGATCCGGTAACCAACCTCCCTCCAACTAACTGTACAGTTGCTTTATTCCACCCTATTTCA